ATCCACTGATAAATAGCCTAGAAATAAAGAATAGAATTTCAAAGACAATACATTACCTTTATGCACAATGAGAAGTAAAGACAAATATCAATTAGGCCTATTACATTTGGAGATAACAAACTCAGAAAATCAATTAAAAGGGTTCCTCCCATCTCTACTCGCTGAAATAAAGATTTAGGAAAAACAAATTGTTATATGTATTCAGCCTAATGTCATTATTCAGAACGAAAATCGACAAGCTTTCTGTAGAGAATAAAACCAAGCCCGATCCTATAGGTCAGATCCCTATTTATAATGAAGTGATCCTTAATTAAATTGCCTCTCCGAATTAGAATTTGGACAACAAGGCCAGTTATATTTAAGAAAATGGCATATAAATCTGTCTTTTGCAATTCTTTTTTTTTTTTTTTTTTTTTTTTGCAGAATTTATACAAAATCTTATGCGTTAAAAGAAGATAACACTTTCTGTGGCCTTTAACTCGACTTTCAGATATATCGACGTACTGAGTATTATCAATTAACAATGATAATTTCCATTCCTACGTCGATACGATTATCCAGGAGATTGATTGATAGATTGTTTATTGTCTAACGTCCGTCTCCAGAATATTTCACTGATATGGAGACGTCACCATTGCCGGTGAAGGGCTGCAAATTTAGGCCTATGCTCGGCACTTACGGCCTTTGAGCAGGGAGGGATTTTTATCGTACCACACCTGCTGTGACACGGGGCCTCAGTTTATACGGTCTCATTTGAAGGAGAGCTTGAGATAAAAGATACCACAGAGTATGACACATCTGTTCCATACTTGGATATTTTACTTGAAAAAGACATTAATGGTAACCTAACAACCAAGTTATATGATAAACGTGACGACTTCAACTTTTCTATCGTCAACTTCCCTTACTTATGCAGCAATATACCTTCATAACCTGCATACGGAATGTATATATCTCAGTTGATTCGATACGCAAGAGCATGCTCTACATACGAACAATTTCTAAAACGAGGTAAATTATTGACAAGCAAGTTGATGAAACAAGAATGTCAGCAGTCTCGTTTAAAGTCATCATTTCGTAAGTTCTGTGGTCGATACAATGACCCTGTCAGCAAATACAATTTATCATTGAGTCAATTGCTGACTGACGTTTTTTATTCCAATTGTTAGTCCATTATTTATACATTGAATTGACGACGGATTTTTCCTTTATTTCATGATCATGACAAGGAGCACACGGCGCGTGTGACCGGTCAGCAGGGGATGCTCACTCCTCCATGACACCTGATCCCACCTCTGATGTTTCGGAGGTCCGTGTTTGCTCTACTCCTATTTTGTATTGTTTTATGGACTTTGATATTGAATACAGTTCGTTATCTCCATATCCTTCTTCTCAAACCTTGGTTGTTTCTGTCAAGTACAACTTATTGTAAATTTGTGTTGAGGGCTTAAAGCAATGGATTAAAGTTTCATTATCTGTTTGATTTTCAGACAAGCGTTATAACTACAATTTTTTTGAAATAATTGTTTACAAATCCCTACACACTGTCGTTTTCACTCATTTTTCAAAGCAATGATGCCTATCAATTTTGCTATGTGTCCTAAAGTCAATCAAACATTGTAATTGATAATTTGTTGAATTTTGGCATATATTACATAGGTTGTAGCAAATACTTGTCGCCCAGGACGGTACCCATTTTTGATGCCCATTAAATAATATTTGTTCATTGAAATCCACCTGCTCATATGTCAATAAAACAGAAACTGGTTGTTGTAAATTTCACATATTTCATTGAATATTTCTTTGACATTCTTAAAGAGTTTTACAGCAGCTTTAATGAATCGAATAATTTCACTATAGTTTACTGATTCTTTATTATTAATTTTTAATGCAGTACTGTCTCGAATAGCCATTGTTTTGAAGCTTTTCACAATGTAGTGATTTTGTATGGGTAGGTCTTGTATGCATTTATCCTCAGCACCCACATGACCATCCATATCGTAGCTTCTCACCACACGTCTTTTATTGGTCTCCGTCAAGAAAATATATCATACACCCCTCACCTCTTATGCACTGAAAATATCATACGTTTAACTAACCCTAAAATAAATTTACACATAGAAAAAAAAAAACAAAAGAACATACTTACAAAACTGAAAACTGACCAACAAAACAAAAACGCTTACCGGCTAGTGAGAAAAATATGCCAGTCTAAACAAATCTTCCTTATTCCGATGTTAACCAGTTTAACAGTCCTCATAACTGTAATATTCGCCACAACCTAAGAACATATATGACAAGCAGAAACGTGGCATCCAGCTGGTGTTATTACCGCTCCCTAATCTGACCACTCTGGCCTAACCGGTCACTTTTATACTCACGATAAAAATAGATTCTACATCCGTCTACGGTTTCCAACTACGGTCAAAATCAAATCAACAAAAAAGTACCAAAACTAAACACCCACGCACAAACACAAAAACTAAACAGTTGAATCAACTTTATAACAATCATGTACACATAATGAAATAATGTAATGAAAAGTGGAAATATAAACTGTAATCAATTCATTAAAGATTAAATCATGAGAGAAAGTCAAAGTCAATGTCATAAGATTTCTATGCTGTGTGTCATAGAGCCCAGGGCATTATTTATTGAAAATCCCTCGTAATTGTGTTTTAAAAAATGAAAGGAGTTCTGATCTACGGCTTTTAGTCTGAAAGAATAAAATCAGGTACATAGTGAATTGATCATAAGTAAAATTAATTATTTCTTAGTTATTGGAGTTTTCTCGGTATTGAAGTTCCGATTAATCGATTAAATCAATTATCTAATCGAAATGGCCCCCGATTATAGATAATCGATCTTAATTTTTATAATCAATTAATCAAAATATTAGTTTAAAGCAAATTATTTTTATGACTTCTTAATTCATTCTTTTATCAATGTAATTAAATTCTAGGTAATGATTTAAAAACGAGTCAAATGTTACAAAATACATTAAAAAAATGCATTTTAGAAATCACACCTACGTTTTTACCCATTTATTTTTATTCAAAAATGAAAAATAATGCTTGAAATATATCGATTATTAATCGATTATAGTGCATCCGATTATTTTGATAATCGATTTTCCGTTCCTCAGTAAATATAATAAACTACAATGGAAAACAAAGACATTGCACTTTATCCAATATATTTTACAATTTTATAAACATACAGGTACAAATAATATGAAAAATATTTCATGGTTTTACTAGCAAATAAAATTATAAAAAAGGATTTTGTTCATTCAGATTTATACTGTGTTGTACACGCCCCGATGAAAATTTAAATGATGACGACAATTCCACCGACAAATCCAGCAATAACCCAATTTCTTTTTGAGAGAAGACATGGAGGGGCACTGTTAGTATTAGATTTTGGGTAATCTACAATAAAATGTTTTTTAGATTAAGGTCTAAAATTTGAATCACTATCTATCAAAATTAAAAATACCTGGAATCAAACATTAATGCAACTCGCATGCACATATATACATGTACTTGTATGTAACGAATTTCAAGAAAATAAAGAAATTGAAACTTCCAACGATGATCAATGTGGACGCTGAGTAAATATTACAATTAGTTGTTTACATTGAAAGGAGAATAGGAATATGGTTAAATATTTGCCTTAGCTGTGTTTTTCTTCTAAACCAACTGGTTTATTGATTTGAATGCCATTTTCATGCACACTCACGCGTAGAAATATACAGAGAAAAACTTGCGCTAATTAAAGTAATGTTACAATGACACTATAGTTCCGCTAATGTAAATGTAGTGCAGTAGAAAATTTAAGCATTTAGAACTTAGTATTTAGTATATATTTTATACTTTTAAATATTTGTCAATGTATTATTTATGTAAATATACTGAATGTTGTAAGTTTAATGTAAATAATTTGTTTTGTAAATCACATAGCGCGCTTCATGAAATATGCCTACGTGATACCTCTGTGAGATTTACACGCCAGTAACTCACGCAAATCAAAAACATGAAGTAAATATATTTTTTCTATTAAAAAGACATTGATTACATGTATTATATTCAAAGGAGTTTTTTGATTATCACAATAATATTGAACATCGGACCCTTTGGAAATACAGAGATTGGTTCGGGTGCCTAGGAGGAGTAAGCACGCCCTGTCAATCGGTTCATACCGTCAGAGGCATCATCTATTGATCACGTTTAAGGACAATTTCATAGTCAAATTCAAATTAGAATTAAAAAAAAAAGCTTAATAATGTACAAACCAAGTCAGTCAACATACGTTCCAAGGACAGGTTATATTTGCAAACATTAACTGTTCGTTATTTAAGATGTGTTAAAGAGTAATTAAATTTATTAAGATTTTGTCAATTACACTTTATATATTTTAATATATCTTAATATTTTACACTTTTTCCTTTTGTTTTTTTTTCTCCTTACTGTGGTTTCAACAATATTTGTTAGGCACAATTTTTTTAGGATTTCGTTGTTTAGCAGATCCACGAAATTATATATTCATTTAGTAAGAAACATGTTATTCATTTGTATATGCAATGCCTTTGTCAACGAAATTAGGTACCCTCGAAAACGATTGTTTTTCAAAATTGCAAAAGTTGTTGCCAACAAAAATTGATGAAATCACAGTAATTCATTTCAAGATTGAATATTGCAATTACCAATTATGCATCCATGTACATGGTGGCACAATTCTTCACAATGTGTAGGACATATTTCCCTGCACAACTGTCCATACCTGCCTTCAGGGCACTTTATTGAATAATTAGGATCGATCCAACCATTTGGACATGCTAAAAGAATAATATTTTTGCTCTCCTATTATTTTAGTTAAAAAGTCAATTATCTTTGATTCCATCTCATGAAGTAATTTTTAAAATTGTTTTTGATTACTTTTTGGAAGAGAGAGAGAGAGAGAGAGAGAGAGAGAGAGAGAGAGACTTTGCATGTACTTACGAACACATGTATCGTTTATCGCTCTATAGTTTATACAACACTTAAAATTACTGTCATCACTGAAAAACAGATTTGCAAGAACTTAGCGAGTGCAAATCATATTGAAATTGAATATCTGTAAATTACAGCACTAAAAACAGATTTGGTTTTCCAGAAAGTGTCAAATTATTTCAGTAATGTTGCCAGAAAGTGTACCTAAAATATATTGATGAGCATTATAGATACTATTTTTTCCAAAAAAAACAACTTACCCCTTATCACAGTAGCCTTCTCTTGTTGCAGTACAGAAAAAAGGCAATGAGCAACTTAGAAAGATGATAAACTCGCTTGCTCTATCAACTAATAGAAGGCAATTCAAGTTTCAGGAAATATTTTTTATCACTTCCGTTTGATACAATGAATTTTATCAAAAACACATTTCATGGAAGAATAATTTAACTAAAGTGCTGCAACTTTTGGTAAAAACCTTACATCACATTTGTAAGATTTATGATTTTAAAACATAAATAATAGTGACAATTGAAAGAGTCGTTTACATTCTTTGTAGTCATGCATGGATATCTTACGTATCCTTTGAATGAATAGTTGACATTATTTATATTAAACAGAATACTTCATTTACAGGTGTCTTTTAAAAAAACCTCTTCATAATTTAGATATTGAATAATGCATTGCCATTTCCTAAAAGGAAAAAAAGTTCATGTTTTTAATAAACAATTTGAAAGATAGCCATATCAATGAGCGTCATGTCTAAACATTGCTTTAATAATTTCCTATTTTATGTTAGAGTGGATTATTCTTTTTATTTTTCCTTAAATTAGTATATACATATATATTAAGGAAGTAAATGGTGACCTCATCTAAAAAAATGTGTCAATCGTAATGAATAATGTATCTGTAATTATACAAGCAAAAACGTCATTTTAAAAAGATACTGTCATGTATAAAACAAAGTTGCTGAACGAATGAAAAACACGAAACATGTCTCTGTACACTAGATTAAAACCAGCAAAAACTTGAAAAATTCAAGAAATTTAATCCCCTACAAAGAGTGAGGCTAAAAGAATCTTTCAGAGTAGCAACATAGCCTAGCTGTATCAATATGAATTTCCAAAATCATACTGTATCTTATGCAAATGATCTCAGGTATGATACGTGAAATTACTTAGATAAGATAAATCTTTTACAGCTTACAATAATTACCGGTACTCAAAATCCACACTGTTTGATATATTTGTTAGTTGACATGATCATCGGGTAGGTTTCCTTGCAACGACTCTTTAACTACAGAAAACAAGCTTATGATAATGCTTATTGATGTTGCACAGTACAGGCTCTTTAAGCTGACACGTGTATCAGAATAAAGTTCTGACTCATTCGTCGGTTCCTAGACTTAAATTTTTGAAAGGGATAGCTGCCTTAAACTTTGGTTACATTCTTAATCATATAAATGTTTGTAATTTATTTCACCATATTGCAAGTTGAAATCTTCATCCTGTAATTCATACAGATATTTGCAATCTTTTCAATTACAAACAAACCCAACAGTACCTTGCAATTGATGTTTAGCACACATCTACAACAAAATCGAAACAAAAAAATGCTAGTGTTCATGTTCTTTTAATTTCAAATACACTCCTGCTCGACATGTTATTACTGGTGATTTCAATATAGTTTTCAATAAAAGTGTAATTCGAAAATTGTCCTATCTTGTAATTGGTTTTTATTTGTTTTTTGTTTAACGTCCGTCCCTCTTAAGAATTGTTCAAACATACGGAGAGCTGCAAATTTTGACCTATGGTCGGTACTTAGGGCCATTTAGCAGTGAGGGATCTATTTCGATCGTGCACCTACTACGATACGGGACCTCGATTTATACGGTCTAATCTGATGGACAGGTCTCCACGTCCCACAGTGGTATTTGGAACTAAGGTTCAACTTCTTACTACACAACTCTTAGAGCTGACGCTCTTACTACTGCTTCTCCACGCGGGCGACTCTTGTAACTGGTTATTAACAAAATTATTATGCTACTCTTATTTTTACACAAATATTCTGAAGTTGAGATTTAAAAAAAATGACAACATCAATAAGGTGTTGAATTTCTAGTTTGTAGTTAATGTGCTCCTTTCGAAGTTGACCTTCTTTTTTTCCAATTCCTATAATGCATATTAAATTCAAAAACGTCGTCATGAGAAGTCCAAATCATTTGCTTTGGTCTTCAACTCGACATTTATTCGACATTTATTAAATGGATTATCAATTACCAAATGAATAAATGTTCATCCATTTGCAGATTCGGTAAATATGAGAAAACTTGAAAGTAAAGCCATCACAGAGTCTGTCTAACTTGTTTCATATTTGAATGTTTTACAAACTTGAGACAACATAAGTCAACTTACAACGAAATAAATGAGAAGGTTTTAAAATTTCTATCGTCAATTTTTCATATTAATGTACAACGTATAGATATCCCAATATTATCTGCATTTATCTCTATCTTATTCGGTGCTTAAGAACATGATCAAAGTACAATACGTTTTAAATCCAGAACGGCTTTTGGCAGATAAGTTGATGATACACAGATTTCAACAACCTCGTTTAAAGACACCGTTTATTAACAAGCTTAGAAGCATGTCATTTTGTAAATTTGGCTGACCTGTTTAAACCAATTGTTCGGTCTTCCTATTATTGCAGATTTTGACCATTGAATGTACCGTCTACCTGATAGTGGCGGTAGTGACCGGTCGGCAGGGGATTTTTTCTTCTCAAAGGTTATCTAAACCCATCTGAAATTTCCAGGGGTCCGTTTTTTACGTCCTCTCAAGTATTCTGTGTTGTGGAAATATTAATCATGCTTTGTCATCTTCAGTCTTTTCATTTCCTTTACCGTACAGGTCAATTTCAAAAAAGCGTATGTTTGTCCACGTAGACAATATCAATGTTGATATGTGATGGTATTAGTTGGATTGAATATAACCGTTTTGTATAAGAGGAAAGGTCAGATCAAAGTCATAAGTATTCCTCTGGACATAAGGAGTAAAATAAAAAAAATACTGCTGCCAATCATAAAATGCCTAGCCTACCTTTTTTTTCAAAAGATTCTGCTTTTTCTTTTCGGATAAAAAGATTTAAGTACATAGGATCTATAAAATGATATACATTGTAACCAAATTGACGGAAATAATTTGATAAAAATGGATTTTTGCAATTTTTTAGGATATATATTGATTATTTTTATATGTTTCCTGTATTATTTTGTTGCTGTGGTTTTTTCACATATAAAAAGGTAATCATATAAGGATAAAAATGATTTTTAAAAAAACAAAAGTTTCCATCGTTAACTAAGAGAGAAAACACACTTTTTACGTATTTTTGGCCGAAATCTGTTCTTGGTTCGGAAGTTTTTAAAAACGTGAATAATTTTAGTTTATTCGGAAAATCATATTTATTTGATATATTTTAAAACTTTAGTCCGTTTTTATTAATTTAAGTTACTTTCGAACTTTTTTCAAGTTGTTGATTGCGTAACAGTTATAATTAAATTCGCTGTTCTATAGTAATTTAGAGAAGCAGGAAAGAAGATATATATACTGATATACCACAAAAATATGGCCCTTGTTAGATTTCAAACTCGTGATCAACTTACCATTTTTATTTAGAATTGGACTGTTGTGATAAGGAAATACAAATATGATCTTTTAGAATCTTCTTATCTAAATATAGACAAGTAAGCAAATACACGTTAAATATTTCATATACATGTAGTAAGAAAACAGGCAAGAATCCCTCCTTAAATTTGCTTATCATCGACTTAGGAAAATAAAGTAGATTTAGTTATCTTTTTATGTCATAGTTTAACCTTACAATAAATTTGTCATCACATATATTCTGCGTGTAAAATTCTCGAACTGGATTTTAAACAACATACAATCAGTCGACCAATCATTTGTATTATATATTAAAATAAATATTACGATAAGTCATTTTAAACGCTCTAACGGCAACGCCTGGGCGAAGAGAAATTCGACCGTACTTTGGATCAACAATGCATCGCTTGTTAAAGCGCCGTTCTCTAGAGATAGTAAAAATAAAATTTCAACATAAAATAAAATCGCCTTTATTTATTAGATATATTGTAGATAAATTATAGATAAAACGTTCTTCATTAAATTCAGCATTTTTTAGCCTTCGATTTGGTAATGTAACTTACACACGACGCCATGTGTCGTCAGAGTCTATACGTAGCAAACATCACGTGTGTTTTAACAAGTCCGACCTAAAATAATTGAATCTGGATATCTGCGCTCGCCCTAATTGTCGCACCGTCATCATATTATGAATATCCTTTGTATCTTTTGTAGGACAAAAATTGCAATGACCAAAATGAAACATTTCGTGAAATATTGTTGCATTAATATGGTCATTTTCTTATATTATATAATATGTAACTGCCATGTTTAAATGAACCTCTCACTGATCATCACAAATTTATATTTTCTGCTCGGTTATAGGGTATTTATGGATACAGTCCAGAGTTCAGTTGACCAGCCCTAAAATTCGGCATGTCATGCAGTTGAGATAATCCTACATTTGATTTTAACGGGCTTGTGCAATGACGTAAAATACAGACTACTTTGATAACAGTCAGGGATGTTATTATTGAACAATAAGATAAATTAATTAGTATTTCATCCTATATCAGAGAAAATATAGATGATCTACGTGTCAGAACTATGAACAAAACAAAAATTGCCCCTGATAACATCATAATTTTACGAGTACTAGTAAATACTTATCTTAAAACAAAATATACAGAAGTATAGTGAGAAAAACTGAACAATTAAACAAAAATGTCGACAACAAACGCAATTACATGTACGATATTTTTTCTATAATTAACAATTCATTATATGATAAAGGGACCTCAAAATTTCGAAATGAAATATAATTTTGATCGTTACCCACTGGAGTTCACAATCAATGACTTACATGACTGTGCTCAGGCAGTATTTTACACAGTTTACGAGTAGTGACATCCAAGACCGTTCTCAGAAAGAGACATCAAAGAGAGTTCTCAGGTTGTGACATCCAAAGGAGTTCACAAGTATTGACTTACATGAAAGTTTACAGGTAGTGACTAAAACGGGAGTTCACAGGCAATGACTTTCGCGAGAGTTTATGTTCCACGAAAGTTCACAAGCAGTGACTTACACTGGACTTTACAGCTGGTGACAACTAAAGGACTTCATGGGTAGTGACCTACACAGGAGTTCACAAGCATAGTAGTTATTTAGACGGCA